GTGCCTGTAAGGGAAGGAGGCTTCTCCTGCTGCCATATTCTGAAATCCCTTCCATGAATTTTCAACTTTAATTAAATATGTGAATGATATTCTATGTAGAGCATAATGCCACTACTGTATTTCCACATTCTTGTATTCAAGGCAGTCAGGGTACTGGGGAATAAGAAGAGTGACAAGAATTGAGTGAATATCAGCATATTGGGATGATGTGACTGTTTTACATCGATTTCCAGCAAATCTAACCCTGATATAAGGGTCAGTTCTCAGGCTAATAAGCATTCTGAAAGCAGATTCCAAAAAAAAAAAAAAAAAAAAAAACCACTAGCAAAATTAGTAATTACCATAAAAATATACACCTTCTTGTTAATTCTGAGAAAAGCCATTAATAAGACAGTTTTAAAAGCCTCAATCCTTTCATTTTAGGTTTTCATTTCATTTTGGTTTCTAAAAGGGAAATAGTTCAGTTGGAGAAGTCCTTGTTATCCCATTCCTTTCACTTCATTTATCTTGATAATAGATTTGGTATGATTTGATCCTGGGAAAACTAATTGATTTTGGTTTAAATCTATTGACCTAAAGCCTGACACCAAGCTGGCTTTGAGTCTCACTGTGTTAGCCCTTCAAGGTAATCCAGACAAGAAACCAAAATCATGAGTCTAACACTACTTTTATTGTAAGGTTACATAGCTTGCAAGTTTTAAATCACTTCTCTTGTTTCTCGCCCTTGCTTTCCAGAGAACTGGGGAGAGTCCCTTCTGAGATACTTCCGGTGCTCCCCATTCCTTCTACAGCCTGAGACATCTCTTGTCTTACCATAGCCTAGGCTGTGTCTCCTTCTCCTCTTCTTGTCTTCCAAGGTTATTCTCACAGACCATTACACATTGGAATAACTTTGTCACCCATATTTCAAAAATCTTTGGAGACAGATGTGTTATTTCAAGCATTTAGAATTAAGGTGATAAGTGATGTGGACTTAATGTATTGTCCTCCACAATCCTGAATCCAACCTGATCAGATCAATGCTCTATTCAATCCAGCTTCCTGCCCAGCCATACAGAAGTTCATTAACAAAGGCATGGAGACAACTGTTCTTCCTCAGAGTTACCCCTTGCTAACAGTGATTGTTAGGAGAGAAAAAGCAGCTCTGCCATCACTAACGTCCTTTTGCTGCCTGTGAAGTGGTCCAATATATAGAATAGTTGACTAGCTTGTATATCCTTAACTTTGGGGCAATTCTTTTGGGTGAAGCAGTTATAAGATGTCTGAATGTAACTGGCTAGTCTTGTAGGCAATAGAGTCTAGCATGTTCTGCTCTCTACTTGGATGTACGGTAGGCTCTGGCAAAATGCCAGGTGACAACAGTTCCAGTAGGGTGATCATATTATGTAAACAGCCTGAACACAAATAAAGAAAATAACACAGAGAGTTATTATTAAAAGCTAAACTGGCAAAGCCAAGACATCTGTCACTTTAAGCAGATGTGGCATTCTCTATATACAAAAGTAATAACTTCCAAAGGTAATTGGAACTCTTCTACCTGTCAGCACTCCAAACTACATTCCCTCCAGTGCTGACATAAGGAAGAGAAGAGGACGCTTGACTCTTCACCTACTTATTTCCCCTGAAGATATTATCCCCTAGGAGATGGGATGGGAGGGGGGACATTCCTGTGAGCTGAAGTAGTAGATATGGAGAGAGTGACTTGGAAGATGGCCAATGAGACGCAGAGAATTGGGGAATGGAAAGGGAGGGTTTGGGGTCAGAAGGTCAGTGCTGACTGCGATGTAGTCGGGGACAGATTATTGTGCTCAATAAATGAAAGATTTCATCAAAGACTATTTGTTTGTAAATGCAATTTATTTGAGACGACATCGTAACCTGACAGACAGTCAGCACTGACCTTCTAACCCCAAACCCTCCCTTTCCGTTCCCCAATTCTCTGCGTCTCATTGGCCATCTTCCAAGTCACTCTCCCCATAACTACTACTTCAGCTCACAGGAATGTCCCCCCTCCCATCCCATCTCCTAGGGGATAATATCTTCAGGGAAAATAAGTAGGTGAAGAGTCAAGCGTCCTCTTCTCTTCCTTATATCAGCACTGGAGTGAATGTAGTTTGGAGTGCTGACATCACCCTAGTCATGAAGAATATCAAAGACCACCTAGATCCAAAGATCATTCAATATTCTAAGGCAGAGTTGTTACAATAATGTTACTACATTCAAGATTATGCAATCTGACTGTTTGTACATATCTTCCCCTCACTCTCTTCTTTCTTCCACCCCACTTGTGTTCTTCAAGTCTGCTCTGGAGAATCACCCAACCTTCCAAAGCAGAAGAGGACAACCCAAAAGGATACAGAGGAAAGTAAAAATTATTTGATCAACAAATACAATTCTACCTAAAAGGACATGACTGGCTTTTTAAAAATTGCATTCTATAAGCCTCCAAAACTGCCAAATTCAGATATGGATTATAGCATGAGCATTTTGTAAGGATTTACAAGAACATTTTATAATCATTCAGAACATTAAAAAAAAAATGATGATCCTTGAATTCTTGATCTCTTATCTATTCTAAGCAAGCTTATATTTCTTCAGTGATATATTCAGCCATCGTCCTGAGAAGTGAAAGAGATTTTTCTGTCTTTCCATTGGATCTTAGTGGAACACGACAGTGTTACTTCAACAAAAATTCAGAAAGAAAGGAGAATATCCTCCAGTCCAAAAGAGTGCTTGGAATTCAAAGATAATTAATTTAATTTAATAATTTAATTTCTTTTGCTATGTGATCTTATCTGGTTAAGAAAGACCTGATCTACTCCATACTCAGAAGGGATGCTCCGGTATGATAAGATAGATTCAGAAGCTTTTTAAAAAAATAATCCATGAAGAGCAATAACAAAACATTTTTTCTTGCCAAAAAAACCTACATGAGCTGTGCTTGAATTGAAGCAGGGTTTATTTTATTTATGTCGGAAGAGAAAATGTGTTTCGTTTTGTTGAGCTTTCTTTCTTTCTTCAAAAAGTTTAAGCACAGGAGGAAGAGCACATGCCATACTATGGAAGACTCTGCATAGTTTGGGAGAATTCGTTCTGATGTGAAGGCTGTATATATGTGCACTAAAGCTCAGGTGTGACCATATGTCAGTTCACAGAACACTTTTTCAGTTCACAACTGTTCCATGGCAACTGTCCAACTCAGAGCTGATGGATTCATTGCAGACAACAGACTGGATTGCCAGATGTGCTTTATTTTATAGGATTATCTCTTATTCCAAAACATCACAATTCTACGGAAAACAACAGTTGCCCTTTACTCTAGGCACAACAGCGCAAGAGTCTTATTGCTAAAACTGTGATCTGCCAAACCTGGCTACATACAAACCAGACTGATAAACAGCAACAAAGCATTTTGCTTTTAAATATGACAGTCAAACAATATATTGGTTGCAAGCCCATATAATACATGTTTCATGGCAACAGAAAAGCCTCTTTTGCAAAGTAAAAATGAGACAGGAAAGTAAGAGCAGCTTACGCTTTCTCCTTGGTATTGAAACAGACATAAAAGTCCCATAGGAAGCAGGGAGGAGGGTTATTTAAAAAGGAAAATAATCCAAGCAATTTCTATGTTATAAAAATATTACAAACGTACTAATATATACTATTGTATAAAATGTTTCTGCACTCTGAACTTTAATATTCAGACTTTGGACAACCAACAAAAAAAGAAATGGGGAAGAATGAATCTGAAGCCCGGAAAGATCAAAATTCTGAATGCCGTAGTTTAGCTTTAAGAATGGATGCAGCATAGCTAGGGATTTTCAAGGGAAACTTGGGCTTCCTTGGAAGTCTATTAAAACAATTCTCCATGCCTGGACATGTTCTCACCAAGACATAAACATGTCTAAACTAGCAACCTCCTCTTTTCCTACCTGATCTCCATTATGCTTCCCACATTTGTGCCTAGCCCATTAGAAGGTGACCTAAGCCATCCTTACTTGTTCTATTGTTCTAATAGTGCTACCCTGTTTCCCTCAAAATAAGACATCCCCAGATAATAAGCCCAATCGGGCTTTTGAGCGCATCGCAATAAGGCCAAGCGCTTATTTCAGGGTTCAAAAAAATATAAGACAGGGTCTTATTTTTGGGGAAACACATAGTTTTCCTCTTATTCTAACATGGTCCAATGGTAACCTCAACACATGCAAAATAGGTTAGTTTTGTTTTACCCCATATATTTGGGGAAAAAAACCCAGATATTGGCAGTCCTTAGAAATCAAACAGAGAGGAGAGACGCTAGTGATAGGAACAGAAAAAATCACAGCAACATTAGGTTTTGCTGATTCAGGTTTGAGGGGGTAGCCTATAATCGTGGAGAAAGATCCTAAATCCCATAGCCGCCTGGGCCAAAATTGTCATACTTTTTCTACAGGTGCAGTGGATCTTTCCTGACATTTATTAACAGGCTGAAATATCTGTAACAGCAAAGATCCACAATCAAAGTCCTAACCTGAAGGGGGAGGTAATTTTTATCGGTAGTACTGAGATAGTTATTACAATTCAATTCATTTCAATTCAAATCTTTATTGCCAATGCACAACATGTGTACAATGAGATTGGCTGAGCCTCCCTTAGTGCACCCTCCCAACACATCTCAATAACTCACAGTGAAAAACAGAAAATCCCTAACTCAGTAAAACATACTAACAAACACACAATCCACTATACATATATGTGCATAACATTACATTATAATACATTGCGCCAAAATGAGCATGTTGCACGTTGCGCCGGCTGAAAGGGGGAAGTGTTCCATTAAGCAAAATAGAAGGTTCAAAGGCAGGGAAATGGTATTAACATCTCCATGCCTATAACTGGTATATCAATCCACATTTTAATAGTCAGAAGACCATCTGCAGATCCTTTTGCATCTGATTGGGTTCGTATCTCTCACTGAATGACCAGAGCAGACCAACAGACCAGAGGTGGGTTCCACTTACCTTTACTACCGGTTCGCAGCGGGATCACGCGCAGATCACCAATGATGTCGTGCTGGGTGGGCAGAGCCTCCCGCCGGTTTTACTACCGGTTCTATAGAACAAATGTAGATCAAATGTGAGCTACATCAAATCACTACATAATATTGCAAGATTAAGATTCTTGTTAAGATTGAGATTTTTCTGAAACAGAGACAATATTTTCTAGCTCCTGGGCAGCATCATTGAACCAAAGTGGACTACAGCTCATTTATTTCCATATGTAATATATAACTCCCACTTTGGTAATGTGATGTCTAATTTTATTTTATCTTATCTATTATTTATTGTACAAGGTACCAGAAAAGTCCATTTGATATTGATGAAGGCTATGTCTAACCATCAAGTACATTAGGCTTCAGTACACTATTTCTATGTCTGCTTTGGGACCCCATATAACTCTGGCCTTTCAAATAGTAACTGGCAATACTGCTTAAGCTGCCTGCTAATTCTAAAATGTAAATATCTAGACTGTTTAGACACAACATACATTTCCCTGTTTACATGGGAAACAGCTCACTATCAGTATTTTAAAGTGTAGACGATCCAATAAATAGTATCGGTTCATTCATGTATTTTATAAAAAAATGCAGAATTAAAGCACTGAAAACATGCAATGATGCACAATCCAAGTCTCCAAGGTTGCATTCAACCCTTTTAAAAGCCTTGGATACAGCCCACTGAGACTTCCCAAAGCTACCATGTAAACTGAAGCGGTAAATTATGAAAGAAATGCCTGAAGAAAAGTAGTTTCTACATTTAATTTTAATCAAATGGCACAAAATCAAATCTAGTTTCCTTTTTTCCTATTTTTGGAAGTGCAGGCATTCCAAGACTAAAGGAAAACTTCATCCTGAAAAAAACCCAAGAATCCTAGCCTTAGGACCGTGATGGCAAACCTATGGCACGCATGCTAGAGGTGGCACACAGAGGCCTCTCTGTGGGCATGCACGCAGTTGCCACCTGGTCTTCTGGTTTCCAGCATGCCACCTGGCCTTTGCACGCGTCGGGGGCCCAGAAACCCAAAGACCAGGTGGCCGATGCGCGTATGCGCGCGCCAGTCACCTGGTCTTTCGGTTTCCGGGGCTCCAGCACGCGCAAAGGCCAGCTGGCTGGCGAGCATGCGTGCGCGGGAAACCAGAAAACCAGGTGGCAACAGCGCGTGGCCTACAGAGAGGGCTGGTCTTTGAGTTTCCAGGTTTCCGGGGCACTTGGTGCCAAAAAGGTTCACCAAGGTTCACTGTCTTAGGACAATCACAATAAACTACAGAGTCACAATAAACTACAGACTACACAGTTCAATATTCATAACCTGCTGAAGTTAGTACTGTAAAAGTTAATGATTGGCTCTTCTTAAGAGTATATCACAAAGTTAACATACAAGCTGGCATGTTTTGCTTGAGAAGTGAAATGGCAAATGCTACCACATGGAGCTGAAACAAGCCGATAAAGACTTCTGCAGAACTTCTACAGTTCACGCCATCCCTCTCACCACTGTTGAACCTAATGTGATTGTTATCTCTTCATCATAAGCACTAAATTTGCTGCTAATGTGTTGAAAAATTGTTGCAGCTCTGGCTTCAATTTACAGTTTGCCAAGATCATCTGCTCTGGAAAAAGAAACAAGATCCAGCCAAAGACAGCATGAAATATTTGTAAACTGAACCTGTTATTAGACTCTTGAGGCATTCTTATTACAAACAGAAAAGAATAAGCAATAATACAGCATATATAATATGCTGACGGTTATCAGTTCATGGAGGTTTTTCTTTCATTTTTTCTTTCATTTTTATTAATTTTACACATAATGTATTCTTTTTAGTGTATTTTCATTGTTCTTTCTTTCATTTTTTACTAAATAGACTATCGGTAATAAAATAAAAAATTGAATATTTTTTTAAAAAACAAGTAGTGAGAATTTTCACAATGTACATTCTTAAAGATTTTTGTATCTAACTGAATTTGTGGATTTATGACAATATTCCTCAGTAAATATTAACTCCAAGTAATCTTAACAAAAACTCATTAATATATTTAAAATTAAAAAGTTCAATGGACACTTAACATAAGAAATATCAATTCCTCTATACATATTCATTCAAGTTTGCCCTGCTCTTTATTTTTAATTTTTCATGTGTGAAAGTACTGACCGAGATTTTCTGCTTTTCTCAAAGTTCCACTAAAGTAGAGTTCCACTAAAGTAAATAGACAGGAACAAAAAACCAAACCTAGCCAAAGAAGCTCAGCCAACAATAATACTTGCCAAATGTGTTATATATGCATATGTCAGACAGATAAAGTATGAAAAATTAGTAAAAGCAAACAAAGATACATGCATGGTGCATTTACATGACCAAGTTTTCAAAAAGAATAGATACAGGTTTAAAACACCAGCTGGGTTTGGAAATTCCTTCCCTCTATCATGGTCACTAGTGTGAACTCATTAAATTTGAAACCACTGACCTATGTTTCTAAAAAGTACAGACAAAACTTGTTTGGGCAGTTGAATATTTGTATTGAATAAACACATGCTCAGAGGTCTTGTTCCCTTTTAAAAGCCCAAATCCCATTAGCTCTGCACCCCTAAGGCATTGCTCATGTTTAAATTCATTGTTTTCCTGTTTAGGGACTCATATCACAATATGATCCTTTTAGCTTGGCTAAATACAGAGTATTTAGATACATACAGTAATACAGTAATAAATACAGAGTAACAATATTGAGTCTCCTTCTCCTACTTTGATTTTAAAATTTTATTTCTCATTGGCATCCAATGAAATGTTCCCAGATTACACCGAGCAACAGCAGTTCCCTCTACAATTTGCCACCAGGCTGACTTTTTATATGCTTGCATACATTTAGATCAGGGCCGTTTTAACAGCATTATGGGTCCTGTGCAAAGCAGTGTACTGGGGCCCCTACGACAACTACTCACAAGAATAAAAATGTAAATGGTCGATAAAATTCAACATATATTTACATGTTAGTTTTTTAAAAATGTAGTATATTTGCATGATAGTAATAAAAAATGCAATAAAATGTAATAAATATGTTGCTGTATTTATATGATACAAGGTGCATTGAAGTATATGGTGTATATGATACAAGGTGCATTAAAGGAAGCAGTGAAATGCATCTACCTTCACTACCAGTTCGGGATTGTGAGCGTGTACGCCTCTTCTGCGCATGCGTAGAGCTTTCTGCGCATGTGCAGAGGGTCAAAAACAAGATGTAATAATGTCCCAGTGGGTGGGTGGAGCCTCCCCCCACCAGCGCTACTGGTTCACACGAGCCGGATAGATCCGGCCGGATTTCACCGCTGATTGAGGGGTTAACATGCACAGATTAGTATGGGGCCCCTATGCTCGTGCGGCCCATGGGAAGTGCCCATCAGGCCCATGCATTAAGACAGCCCTGATTTAGTTAGCAGAACAGCTGCCAACACAAGCTTGGATTCCGTAGTATAACAGCTATTTACAGGCACAATTTTCTTAGTATCAAAGGGAGTTTAGTGACACTACTTCTCATACTCGTAAATATATTACAAGATATAACAGAAAGGTAAAAATGTGAGCTTGCTCGTTCCTCAACCCCAAAATTACCTAGCCCATTACCTCCACTGCCAAAACAAAAACCTCTTGATGGATCACCCAATATCCATCAGAATACACAACGTTTTAAAAAAAATACTTACTGGAGCTGCAATAGCACCACTAAGAGTATCTTCAGGAAGATGATCTAGAACAGAAGGAGATAATATATAGCTCTTAGACTAATTTCACATGACCCTTGGTCTGGTTCCAAGTGCTCTGACCTCTTCAAAAAGGGATTTTTTGACAGGTGATTGCATAAGCAATAGACAGAAAAAGAACCAGACTAAATTCATACAACAGATGCAGCTATACAGAAGTTCATTTGTTCTTGATTTAGCACACTGTAGAAGCCGAACTACTCTAGTTTAAGATAATGTATAATCCCTTATACCTCTGATTTGTCAGGAAATCATGGCTCAAAAATAAAAATGTGAAATCCCATCCACTTTGGGGTCAAAGCCTGTCTAATGATTTACAAGATTATCTATTGCTGCCATAGACAGCAAAATATCTTGGACCTATACTTTCAAGGGTCCAATTAAATTGAACTTTACCATTCTAGAACTCCGCAAACATATTCTATCAACACCAGTCCTAGCACTGATGATGTTACCTAGTTTGGGTAATGAAACACCAGCAAAACAAGCAAGCTCAGAGACCCCTCCCCACCCCTCAGTCCTGTCCTAGTGGATTTATATAGTAATGAATAACAAAGTGTGCAATTTGATGGGAAAGGTAAGTAATTAGAAAACAAGTTAACATGCTCTATGATCTTCACTGTTTGAACCATTGTTATCTCTATCTGTGACTGAAAAAAAGGGGGTATAGTCTCACAAACTCAATCATCCTGGCCAAAAGCATCCATATTTACATAGACATCACCCCTAAGATAATATTTTGTTATTAACTAGCTAGTTATAAACCCAAGGTCATCAACACAAAAAGAAATTAACTTCTCCCTGCTGTGGCCTCTCTTATCAAACTCAAGTGTAAGAGGATAAATGTGGAACAAAATTTTATAGCGTTCTTAAGGGAAAAAAAACACAAGTCAATTGGATAATGCCTATCTATAGCCTAATTTTGGTTTCCAGATGTTTTGGGAACTATACATTCTGTGATGCCTATCCAATGTATTCAAGAGAAATGTTTGCACATTTGGAGTATCCAAGTCTGGAAGCTTTTGCCAGCCTTGTCTCAAATCAGGCTGAAAGCCGGTAGTAAATGGGTAATACATCTCATGAATTATATCAAGTTTTTCAAATTTGGCAACTTTGAGATCTGTGGACAAACAATAGAATAGAATAGAATAGAATAGAATAGAATAGAATAGAATAGAATAGAATAGAATAGAATAGAATAGAATAGAATAGAATAGAAATAGAATAGAAGCCTTGGTAGTACAGTGGTCTAAGGCACCCTGTTATTAAGCTTGTTATTAAGACCAGCTGCCTGCAATTACTGCAGGTTCGAATCTCGCCAAGGCTCAAGGTTGACTCAGCCTTCCATCCTTTCTAAGGTAGGTAAAATGAGAACCCAGATTGTGGGGGCAATAAGCTGACTTTGTATAAATATACAGAAGGATGAAGGCTATTGCTGAGCACATTGTAAGCCGCCCTGAGTCTCTGGAGAAGGGCGGCATATAAATCAAAATTTAAAAAAAAGAATAGAATAGAATAGAATAGAATAGAATAGAATAGAATAGAATAGAATAGAATAGAATAGAATAGAATAGAATAGAATAGAATAGAATAGAATAGAATAGACACACAAAGAATTTGTCTTGGTGCATACGCTCTCAGTGTACATAAAAGAAAAGATACATCAAGAATCATAAGGTACAACACTTAATGATAGTCATGAGGAAACAATCAATATGAATATAAATCCTAAGGATACAAGCACCAAAGTTACAGTCATACAGTCATAAGTGGAAAGAGATGGGTGGTAGGAACGATGAGAAGATTAATAGTGCAGACTTAGTAAATAGTTTGACAGTGTTGAGGGAATTATTTGTTTGGCAGAGTGATGGTGTTTGGGGAAAAAAAATTTTTTTAACTCCCAGAATTCCCTGGCAAGCAAGCTGCTGGTTGGGGAATTCTGGGAGTTGAAGTCTACACATCTTAAAGTTGCTACGTTTGCAAAACGGCGAGTTGTATTTTCCCAATTTCAATCACTTCTTACCATGTAGCGCTATCTACTTTGGCCGCTAGATATAATCAAGATTACTTTTCTCCTCCATCAGCGGACACAAAGTTGGCACTAACCTATTTATGCCTGGCTAGCGATTTCTAAAAACTGCGGACGAACACAGCAAACTTTTCCAAAGCAATCCGACTTTAGGAAAGCGATCCCTCCAATTAAACAAGATTGGCAAGAAAACCCATAAGAAAAACAACGTCCTAACAATCAGAGGGATGGCAGAAGGAATAAAGTGGGAATAACTCCCACTTTAAAAAAGAAACCGTATTTCTTTTCCCTTTGTGAGAGACTTGAAGCTGAATGATGGGTTGCAAAGATTTAAATCAGTGGAGAAGAGTTTACGCTCTGCCTTGCCCGTTCTTCCTCTTTCCACCCCATTGCCCAAGAGATATTGCCCGAAATCAATATGGCGGTTCTATCGCTCTCTAGACAACACCCCCGCCGAAGAAAATACGTATGAGCCGAGACCTTATTTAGATGGGCAGCAAATTCTAACCAATAACGACCTAAGAGCTTCTTCCCCTACCAATCAGAGAGGACGTACGAAGTTTGACTAACGGAATGGTCCGCCCCCTCTCTTTCTCAAAAATGAGCTATGGTTATGATGGTCCTTTCGGGCTTGCCAGGCGCGCGCGTTCGCGAGGCTGTCAGGCTAAAGCGAGAGCGGTTTATTCTCCGGCCCTTCCCGTCCCCCCACAGCCGTCACACTCCCAACCGTAGCGGTTATTGCCTCGGTACCTTCTGAGTCAAGCCTATCAAGCGCCGCCTCCGCTGCTCTTCGGTGGCGGAGAGACGCCTCCCCCGTTAGGCGGAAACGACCCGCCTCTCTTGGCTCCCCGCGGGAGGCAAAGGCTGCTCTCGGTAGCGCCGCTGACTGGGCAAGGGCGGTAGCCGCCCTCCCTCGACTTCTTCTCAGCTGCTGCCCCGGCTGCTGAGACCTTTTACCGCGGTTGCCTGTTGTCCAACCCGCAGATGTGTTTGATCCTCCTGTACAGCAGTCAGCCTATCAGCTGCTGGTGGGATGGGAATTGTAGTACAAGTAGCCCTCGATTTACAATAGTACGTTTAGTGACCGTTCAAAGTTACAACGGCACTAAAAAAAAGTGACGTGACCGTTTTTTCACACTTGGCACCAGAGGCGGGTTTCAAAACCGGTCGCTACCGGTTTGATCGTGGGTGCATTTGTGCTTTTTTGCAATGCTTTGTGCATGTGCAGAAGCATCCGGGCGGGTGGGCAGCAGTGGTGGGTTGCCCCTGGTTCAGACCGGTTCACAAGAACCGGTAGTAAAACCGGCAGGAGGCCCCACCCACTGCCCCATATGTCGTCATTGGTGATCTCCGCATGCGCACGCATGAGCAAAGCTAGGGTCCACACACGATCCCATTGCAAGCCAGTAGTAAAGGTAAGTAGAACCCACCCCTGATGGGCAGAACCTCCCGCCGCCGCCGCTACTGGTTCGCCCGATCTGGGGCAAACCAGTAGCAACCGACCACTGCTTGGCACCATTGCACCATCCCCATGGTCACATGATCAAAATTCAGATGCTTGGCAACTGGTTCACATTTATGATGGTTGCAGTGTCCTGTGTGATTGCCTTTTGAGACTTTCTGAAAAGCAAAGACAACAGGGGATCCAGATTCACTTAACAACCACATTACTAATTTAACGAATGCAATGATTCACTTAACAAATGTGGCAAGAAAAGTCGTAACATGGGGCAAAACTCAAATGTTTCACTTAGCAACATAAATGTTGGGCTCAGTTGTGTCGTAACTCGAGGGATACCTGCATCTGGTTCTGGAGAAATAGGGTGTTGGACTGAATTATGACTTGGGAGTCATGAGGGCCAGTTTGGTGTAGTGGGTAAGGCACCTGGCTAGAAACCAGCAGACACTACGGCTTAGGCTCAAAGCCAGCTGGGTGATTTTGGGACAGTCACTTTCTCTCAGCCTAAGAAGCAGGCAATAGTGGCAATACCTGTTTGTTGCCAAGGTGTGCATCCATGAAGTCAGCAGAAGTTGGGCTTGACCTAGTGTGACAGGATGGTGTAGCAGTGAGGGTGTCATACCCCAGTTCAGGTGGACATTTAAATAGATAAGTGTGCCCATTTCAAACTTTTGCCCAACTTCACAAATGAAAGTGTTTTGTAAGATGTGTCTAGTTGGTGAAAAATAGAGTTAAACATCAAGAGAATAAACAAGTTTTATTTACTATGCATTGCTATTTAAGTCCAGTAAATAAATGAATACTTGGCAGGACCAAATTGAGGACTCTTGATAGGAGCAATTGTGAAATGCAGTACTTGTGTAGTAACAGAAAAGCTTTTGATACAGGCAGTTGTCTGCAGAGATTCCAGCAGTGGTAGTAGCAGTCACAGCAATAGTAAAGCTGAGTCCATTTTCTATTACAATGCAAGCAAACACCAGCTTAAGTCTCCATGGCTATAGTCTTCAGGGACAATGAGCAGATTTTCACATCCTTTGGGATTGTGTCCCCAAGTATCCCTTTTATTTCTTGTCAGGTATATAAATATTTAAAAACCTTTGCCCTTGGAGACATTGTTATCCCAAACACAACAATCTTCCTTGCATTCAGAGCTGCCCCAAATATTCTTCAAGCCTATTTTCCCCTTTCAGCTGGGAAAACAAAATACAATAAATAAATATAAACAGATGTACTTTTTTTCAGAATACCTCTGATACCTTGCTCTGCTTCATGGGAGGACTGGTTTACTGGTTGGTATAGTCCTTTTTTTAAAGGATATTTATTATTTCAATTCTGAAGCACTCTGACTTCACAACTATGCTGAGCAAATTATAGATGAATATATCAAGATTTTAAAAAACTATCTAATTGGAAACCAAAACCCCAAAAAACCAATCAGTCAGTAACCAACCAAAGGGTATACATGCAACAGAGCTTTGCACATTGAGACACAACTTATGAACCCATGTCTCTGCTTTTCCATCCATATTCTCTTAACTTGATTCAATGAAAAGATATAGTGACAGTGTAAGACTCACGGAATTGCTGTATGAGTTGCATGGCCATATACATTTGTTTAATAAATACTGAATGACTATGTATAATTTGAAATAGTATATAATAATGTTATTATGTAATGATCTCCTCACAGGGGAACCCTCTGAAAATAAAGTTGGCCATCAGAAAGTTGAGCACTGTCACTTAAATCTCTCATGTGGGGAATAAGGACAAATAGCTTCATATTCCATTATTTGAAGACCGAGCTATTGAGTCTATTTCTCTCCACCCCTTGCTTTCACCCTATTGATTTTATAGCATTTTACTAAATGCTGTCATCCATACAGTTGTCCGCTATCATTTTGTTGACAATGTGAGTCAATATTTCATTAAACATTGCCTTTTGGCTTTACCCTGAATTGTCTAGAGTATATGATTTTTTTTCCATTATTTATTCAACGATGCCACTAAATTATGCATTCTTGATTTTAAAGATAATAATAAAATATCTTGTTTACAGTTATTATTGTTCTGGCATCAACTTTTGGATTTCTATATAAAATAATTAATCTTGTTTTGGGAAGGGAAATGGGAAATGACAAGTCCCAGCTCTTGCTGCCTCAGGGACATAATTATGATCAGAAATACAAAAATGGAAAAATCATAAACTTCCCACAACTGAGGCTCTAGAAAGTTTCATCTCAGCATGAAACTATGTTTTAATTATTACTAGTGTTTGCATTGTTTATACTGTCAATGAACCAGATAGAGTAAGAATTTGTCCTATTTAATTCTTCGTAGTACTTGCTTCACTGGAAGATGCATTTAATTTATTTTTTTGTCTCTCCCCATGCCAGTACTTACAAATTCTGTTTTATAGCCAAATTCAGAGCACTGACATATAAATGAAAATACGATCTAGCAAAAATTGAATAGGACAAATTCCTGAAACTACAATTAGTCTTCTATATAACTTTTTACTCCAAAGGGATTATTTATATTTTTTAGCTTCCTTAGGAAATGAAAATCAGATTTGTTAATGGGTATGTATTTGGACATTTTACTTTGATTTTAACTAAAAAGATTCCAGGGTGGTTTACTTAGATTAGTAGTAAGATACTTTCTGCCTTTAGATATACAGTCTAAAATCATGAAACAAAGAGAGAAGGGGAGAAACAAGCTCTAGTTTAATACTGTCCTTTCAGTTTCAGAGAAGCTTGCTATAAATATGAGAGTGGGACTGCAATTAGAGAAATGCATTGTAATGTCTTTTGGATCCATAGTAATTATTCTATAATTATTTGTATTGTAAGCATGTATTTGCACAAATGTGTGTGCATGTGTGTATGTGTAAAAAAAGTACTATGACTTATATAAAGAAGGGCATGCAAAAATACATAGATTTTAAAGATGCCTGCTTTATTAGTAGAATGTTTTTCTTTTTCCATTTTATAGCTCTTTGTCTTTCAACTCATTTACTAACCACACAAGTAATGGTATAAAGACTATCTTTGTTTCTGTAAGTTTTAATCACATATATTTCAAGGAGTCAAGCAGAGTGTTCAAATAATGCATTTTAAAGGCCACTATGACACTATGCAGTTGTATGTGATGAGGAGATGCTACATTTACTTTGAGAGAGAAAGAAAGGGAGAAATCTGTATTTCATTTGTTACACTACTAACTTCACTTTAGGTAATTGCATTCAGCTTTATTATTGCCCAGAGCAATAACTGATTGTTAGTTATTGAAGTCTGAAATGATTTTCTCATCTCCCAGGGGAATCTGGAGATTTACATGGTGCACAGCAGTAACTAATAGATATAATCTGGTCATAATGTAGCCAAAGAATGTGTTATTTACTTATTGAGAACATAGATGTTGAGCATTCTAACATTTCCTCATGAAGTGGGGCAGATTTTATTCATTATATTTGAGCATCCTGCATGTTTTTTTCCCCTTTATTTTGTTTTGTTTCTTTAAAAATAGATTTAACACGTTTTCTACTGTTGAAAGATGCTGATACTTAATTCGGTTTTTCTGTACTTGGGACTAAGTTCCACGGCACTCAGTGGGTCTTGCAGGATTCAATCTGAGGATATCATAAGAGAAAAAAATCAAGATCTGTCCTCTATCATTCCAGTGTGTAGGTAGAGATTAATTAAGAAAAAAAAATTAAAGATTTCATAGCACTTTGAACAATTCAACAATGCAATCAATTGTCAAAATGGTGTGGGTTTCCTTTAGTGTATATGTTCAAGCAGAGACGAGAAAGCCATTTATCAGGGATGTTTTAATTTGTTTCCTGAACTGGGCAATCAATTTAATTCAGTGGCCTAAATAATATTTTGTTGTTTTATAATAATAAGCCTATAATAATAAGTCCTATGTTTCTATTAAA